CCGGGCCGGAGGGGGGTCTGTGGACGCTGGGTGGGGGCTCGGGGGGCCGCACAGCCGGCGGGGAGGGGTCTCTGGTTCCTGACACCGGACCCCCGCCCGCCAGAATGGGCAGCAGCTCGCTGTCCGAGGACTACCGCCTGTGCCTGGAGCGTGAGCTGCGGCGTGGCCGCGCGGGCGTGTGCGGGGACCCATCGCTGCGCGCCGTGCTGTGGCAGATCCTGGTGGAAGACTTCGACCTGCACGGGGCGCTGCAGGACGACGCGCTGGCGCTGCTCACCGACGGCCTGTGGGGCCGCGCCGACCTGGCCCCCGCGCTGCGCGGCCTGGCCCGCGCCTTCGAGCTGCTGGAGCTGGCGGCTGTGCACCTGTACCTGCTGCCCTGGAGGAAGGAGTTCACCACCATCAAGGTAGGGCGCTGGGCCGAGGGGGCGCCCCCGCTCAGGCTGCCGTGTACCGTGGGGCAGAGGGTACCATTGAACAAGGGATTTCATGGGTCTTCAGAGCCGCGTGGCTCTCCAGGGCTCAGAAGGGATTTGGGGCGCTTTGGGGCAGCTCTTGGCCAAGGTGTCCCCCCTCCCCCCCCCACTCCCAGGGCTGAAAACATGGTGTGGGCAGAGGCCACCCACCCTGGGTGCCTGCCTCCTGGGGAGATCCTTGCTCCTCAAAGCTTGAATCAGTGCCCTCCCCCAAAGTGGCCTCACAGCCCAGGTAGCACAGAAATCCTAGGACAGGTGCCTGGGAGGGACTTGAGGTTCCATGGTCATCCTAATCCTTGCATGACCCCATTTATAGAAGAGGACGTTGGGTGGGTGTATCCCCTGTGAAGTAGGTAGGGGCTGGAGGCCCTGCACACTCTGGGGTCTGCACTGATCACCCCTGTGGGTGAGCTGCTGGCCTGCAGGAGGGGGCAGGCATATTTGGCCCTCAAAGCTAATTTGGAAGAGTAGGAAGGTGCTGATGTCATTGGGCACGTGGGCGAGTCCACCTCCACTGGTTGCCATGGCAGCAGCAGCCTCTCTCTCTCTCTCTCTCTCTCCCCCCCCCTCTCTCTCACCCCACCCTCCTCCACTCCCTCTCTCTCTCAAGAGGTGAGCTCTGGAGCCTATTGCTTCATGGGGACACCTGCTGGTCAGAAGTTCTAGGACATTTTAATTCAGAGAACAGGGCGGGAGGCACCCTCAAGCGCCAGCCCCGTGGGAAGCCAAGAACGGAGCGGACAGGCCTGCCCTTGCGGTGCTCCTGGGCTTCAGTGTTGGGCAGACCTGGTTGGGATCTGGTTCTGCTTCCTCTTGGCTGTGTGGCTTTGTGCAAGTTACCTAATCTCTCTGAACCCATGTCCTCATCGGTGGAACACACCCAAGAATAGTGCAGTCCAAGGTCTGTTGTGAGGGCTGAAGGCAAAACCCTGAGTACAGTGCCCGCCCATGGCAGCGCTCCGTCTGCGGGAGGGATGCTGACAGGATCCCAGGGCTCTGGGATTTTAGAACTGGGAGAGACACAGCACCATCATCCTGAAGCCCTTTCAGTTCCTCACAGGACTGCAGCCTAGAACGCACTTTCCCATCTAGCACTCCTGGGCTCTCAGCCCAGATGCATATTAGAGCCTCCGAAAAATACGGATGTTTCATCTATGTGGTGGAATGCTACACAGTTGGAAAAAATGAATGGCTAAGCCTCTGTCCCAATGGGGAAAGCTCTCCAGAACAGGACGTGGGAAGGTGGAGTTCAGAACAGCCTGTCTGGAGAGCAGATAAGCACCCGTTTGTGTTTGCGTGACCCAATCTCAGCCCCAGGGGGGACAGGAGGTGGAGACCCCAAGGCAAGTGAGATTTCTTTTTTTAAGATCTTATTTGAGAGAGCGAGCGAGCGAGAGAGCGGGAGGGGGGTGGGGAGGGGAGACAGAAGCAGACTCCCCGCCGAGCAGGGAGCCCGACGTGGGACTCCATCTGGGACCTGAGCTCAACTGACTGAGCCACCCTGCTGCCACGAAGTGCGACTTCCTGGCGTAGGGGCTCTTTATTTTGTTCTGCCCCAGCCATGGAGATGGGTGTGCCGGGGTGGGTCGGAGTGTGTGGCTGAGCAGCCCCTCTGAAGGGAGTGCCGGCACGGCCTGGTTCCGGGGGGAGGCCAGGGCCAGGAGGAGCCCGAGCGTGGGTCAGGCTGCTGCTGACCAGGACCCTCCTCTGCAGACCTTTTCAGGGGGCTATGTGCACGTGCTGAAGGGCGCCCTCTCGGAGGACCTTCTCCTCCAGAGCTTCCAGAAGATGGGTTACGTGCCCAGGGACAACCACCGCCTCATGATGGCTGCCCCGCCCCCCGCCTGCCAACTGGTGCAAGTGGCCCTGGGCTGCTTCGCCCTCCGGCTGGAGTGTGACATCCTGGGCGAGGTGCTGACGCAGCTGGGCACCAGCGTGCTGCCAGCCGAGGAGCTGCTGCAGGCTCGGCGGGCCAGTGCAGACGTGGCCTCCTGCGTGGCCTGGCTGCAGCAGCGGCTGGCCCGGGAAGAGGAGCCGCCGCCTCTGCCCCCCCGGGGCTCCCCAACAGTCTACCAGACCCCGCTGGATCTCTACCGGGACCTGCAGGAGGATGAGGGCTCGGAGGAGGCCAGCCTGTACGGTGAGCCCTCGCCAGGCCCCGACTCCCCGCCCCCAGAGCTGGCCTGCAGACCGCTGCTCTGGGAACAGAGCGCCAAACTGTGGGGGGCCAGGGGCGCAGCCTGGGAGCCCCTAGAGGAGGTTGAGGTGCTGCCGCAGGCCAGCAGCCCACCCTATGGGGCCTTGGAGGAGGAGCGGGAGCGCGAGCCCACAGCCTTCTCCTTCCTGGCCCTGCGAAGAGAGCTGCTGAGTCAGCCTGGAGACGCGGCTGCCCCCAGAGCCCCAGGGAGCCCCGGGCAGGCCGGCCCCCAGCCCCCCGGCTACCAGGCGCACGGCTGCCTAGCTCCTGGGGCCCTGCCCGCCCTCTGCTGTGATACCTGTCACCAGCTGCACGCGCCCCACTGTGCTGCCCTGCCCACCTGCCGAGCCGGCCACGCGCTTCGCCCGCTGCTCAGTGAGGGCCAGCGGCGCCTGTGGCTGCAGCGCGCACAGCTGGACACCCTGCTCTATGACGGGCCCGGGGCCCAGCCTTAGGCCCAGCCAGGCCCTGCGGCAGGGCCTTCCCGAGACCGTTTCTGTGGTGCTTCTCGGCCTCAGCACTCCTCGGGCCTAAGCCCCCAGCCACCCTGCGCCCAGGGGACTCCTGGGCACAGCGAGGTGGGGCGTCGGGCTTCACAAGGCAGGAGGTGGGGTCCTGCCTTCCATGGGAGGCTCCTGCGTTGGCCTGGCCGACTCCCTACCCCCTGCACCCAGCATCCAGGCCCATGTCCAAACGTGCTGGGTGGAGGAGTCTCACCACCAAGCCTATGCCCAACGAAGGGCCCTCTCCCTTCACTTTCGCTCCTTGCCCCATCCCACTGTAGGGCCCACCGCTCAGCCTGTGGACCTGAGCCCTACAGTTGTCCTTCAGAACACTGCTTCCCTCCACGTGTCCAGGGGAGAGTCTCCTCACAGGGCTGTCCCTGGGAGCCACTGAGCACCACTGTGACCAGTCTGGGGGCTCTGCCAGGTACATGGCTGAGCTAGCCCCTTGCCTAGAGGTGTCATGAGCCAGCGCTGAATGAGCTGAGGGCTGGCTCGAGACCAGCTGGGCCGGGGAGTGTGGTCCCCAGGTGGAGAAGAAATGATCTGATCTCAAAGCAGAGTGAGGAGCCTCCCCAGACGCCCAGAGCATAGGCGGCAGGAGGAAGGACGCAGGCAGCTAGTGGGGCCTGGATAGGCTGTCACTCCCCTCGTGGGTGGAGTGTGGGGCTTCTGAGCAGTCCGCACCCCACAAACCACCCTGCTGTTGGCTTTCTGCTGCATAGGCTCTGGAAGGCAGGGCAGGAGGCCGTGCAGGCTTCCCACCTGAGAATGCTCCCTGGGTTCAGTGGTAAGGGTGTGGCCGGGTTCTTGAGCAGCCACCTGCTAAGGCAGACTCTCAAGGCCAAGGCAGGCAGGCAGAGCCCCTTCCCCTGGGAAGTATTCAGCCACAGGACTAGAGGGGACAGGTGCCTGTCTTCTGTGCTGGGTGCTCTACCCCCGTCTGTCTATCCCACCTCCCCTTCTCCCCAGCACTCAGAGAACCACCATCATGTCCCATGAATCAGAATATTAAAGTTCATTAAAGGACACTGAACCTACTCATACCTGTTAGAAAACCTTTTATCTCTCTGACTCATGCCCCTTCCCCTCTGTGCCTCAGTGTGGGTCAGCGACAGGGCTCAGACCCCAGTCCCTCAGGTGGGATGTGACCCACACCCGACCTCTCCTTCCCATTCTGAGTGTACCAACCCTGCCGGTGGGGGGGGAGGGGGGGTGCGCCTCTCCCTGCCCTAGACAGACCCTGGTGATCAGGAGGGAGCACAAGCCACCATGTGGGGTCTATGCATCCCAAGCCAGCAACACCCACTGAATTGGGCCCAGCAGGTGTTTCCTCCTGGGAAGGGAGGGTCCCGAGCTTTTACCAGCTGAGGGCGCGGCAACAGGTGTCCTGAATGAGGTCCCACCCCTTCAGGGTGCACCCACCCTGCATCACCCCCATGCCCACTCCCCGCTCTTCTGGGGAAGGGGTGTGATCAGCTGGAGCAGCGGGTAGGTCTCCGCCGAAGGAGGAGCTGGGTCCCAGCAGCGCCGTGAGCCTGGACTGCAGAGGCCTCCCCATTCCGTTGCTGTCCGTTGCAGATGTGCCAGCCCGGTGGAGGGGCTGTCAGGGCTTACAGCGCTTGCCCTGGGCCTCAGACGTGGCTGGGACGGCCCGCTTGTTGCGGTGGTGGGGGAAGGTGGGCATGAGCTCCGGCTCACAGGCTGCGGGGAGGAGTGCGTTTGGGTCTGAGAACCCCACTGTGCATCCGTGTCGGGCCCTGGAGTCGCGTCTCCCTGTGCCCCCCTCAGACAACAGTCTGTGTGGCCAACGAGCACCCACGTGGGCCTCAGCATGCAGCCCCTGCTCCACCCGGACAGGCCTGTGCCAGGAGCCCGCCCCACCACCCCCAGGGGCTCGAGGAGCTGTGGGAGGCCGTGCCCCTACACCCCCACCCTGGACAGAAAGGGCCACAAGACAAGCGCGCTGCGGGGCTCAGTGGGAAACTCACGCAGGGGCTTCTCCTTGAAGTACGAGCTCTCCAGGCCATCTCTGGCCGTTGCCCTGGACAGGAGGCCTCCGTGTTAACAGGACCCCGGCTGCCCCTGGGGCTGCTTTCCCACACACCCACCCAGCTCCGCAGCCTCTGGTTCAAATTTCCCGACAGCAAAAGGCGAGTGGCCAGCAAGGGTCTGGGGCCCAAAAACAGATGAGAAATTCAGAGTGGGCTCCATGATCTGGGTGGGCAGCGACCACCCACACTGGGGGCCTGGGCCTCCGCGTCTGTCTGGGGAGGGGGCACCTCTGCAGCAGCGTGGCCAGAGTTCTGAAAACCCCCCTTTCGAGGGCTCGGGTTTGAGGCCAGGTCAGCACCTTTTCTTGGGGTCGTACATGAAGAGGAAGTTCAGCAGGCGCAGGCCAGCCTCCGAGAGCCACGGGAACTTGTGTTTGAGGTTGTTGTACGGCTGCTTCCTCAGGCTGTACTGACCCACCAGCGGCAGCCTGGAGAAGCCCTGCAGGGAGCAGGAGTGGAGCATGGGGGCTGGCCCGGGCAGGGGGCAGAGGGGGGCGGATGAGGGCAGAGGCCGGGCACTCACTGGCCAGATGTTCTCACTGGGCGTCCCCAGCAGCTGCACAATCAGGTCCACCTGGTGGATCTCGGACGTGCCAGGGAGAAGGGGCTTGTGGGCCAGCAGCTCGGCCAGGATGCAGCCCATGGCCCTGCAGAGGAGAGCAGGCCTTACCTCACACACCTGTCCCCTGCTGCCACACACCTCTGCTGAGGCCAAGTGCTGCGGTCAGGACAGGGTGGAGCTTGGGAGGAAGTCAAGATGGGACATGACCCCGTCCCAGATGGCCTCTTTGGGTGACCATGAGGGCAGGGCCTTTCTTCTGTGGAAGCTACGTTCTCATGCTTCCTCTTAGGGATCCCAGGCTTCGGCCCTCCCCCTCCCCCTGGGGGCTGGGAGGCTGACAAAGACCCCAGCCCTGTTCCTGCCCCTGTGAGGCCCCATGGGACCCACCCCAGCCCTTCCCCCAGGTCCCAGGAGCCGCATTCACTTCTCACCACATGTCTATGCTGGTGGTCTGCGTGGTGGTTCCCAAAAGCAGTTCGGGGGCTCGGTACCTGCAAACACAGGTACTCCCCCTCGTACCCTGCAGTGAAGCCTGGGCCTCCACCAGCCTTCCTGACAGCCTGAGGCAGCCCGGGCTCCAGACTGCCAACCCCAGCTCAGACCACCTTGTCCTCCCAGCCCACAATCGTGGGTGACACACAGAGTAACACCAACTTTGCGGGTCGGCTCCTAGGAGTCTGCCGCCAGCCCAGTCTGTAGACACGGCTGGCTGACGCATGGCAGACCTACGATTTCGTATCGTTAACCACAGGCCTGTTCTGCTTCTTCTTAAAAACATGCATGAGAAAAACTACAGAAAGCTGAATAAACCGCCCCACCCCACAGACAGAAGTCTGTGAAGTGACCTCCCCTTCTTGAGAGGGCTCAGAACCAAGGAGGACAGTCCCCCACCCCACCGTGCTGTCCTCCGTCCCGACAGCCCCGCTGTCTCAGGAAGCTGTCCTAGACCCAGCCTCTAGGAGTGTGTGTGGCCCTCTGTAGCTTCAAGACCCTCAGGATCCTTCTGCTGCTTCAGCATGATCAACCCCCACACTTCCTCCACTCACCAGAGTGTGACCACCTTGGGGGTCATGGGCTTCACTGGGATGCCATAAGCCCGGGCCAGCCCGAAATCCGCTGTGACGAAGGCAGAAAGGCAGTGTGTCACCCAGCGGGGGCTAAGAAGCTGCCGTGTGCGAACAGCTCTTGGCCCCCGGGGAGCTGGCAGGCACGGACCTGCTCCCCCGCCCCAGCGGCACTCAGAGACACCTGCCACAGTGCCGGCACCCAGCACCCACCTGTCTTCACACAGCCCTTATCGGTCATGAGCAAGTTGGACACCTTCAGGTCCCTGGGACAGAAAGGGAACATCGGTGATTCCCAGGACATGAACCCCACAGGGCAACTAGGTTGTGACGAGACTGCAGGACTTCTCATAGCCTTGTCAGCTCCCCCAGGGGGAAAGCAGGTGCTGTGGGGCCTGGATCCTGCCCTAAGGAACAGTTAGAGAACTGCACAGAGGCCAGGTCATTTCCTCTCTAGGGGTTAGGACTGGCAGTCACCCTTCCCATGTGTCACGAACCTGCACTCCAGACAAATGTTCTCCAGGATTGTGCCATTCCTCCCCCCGCCGCCCACTTGGGGCCCCTCCTACCTGTGGATGATGAAGTTCTGGTGCAAGTATTGAAGGCCTCGGAGCACTTGCAGCACAATGCACTTGACCTATGCAAAGGGCAGGATGCATCAGTTAAATGTGCCACACAAGGACCTGGGACGGTGCCTCACTCCAGGCCCCCCAGCCTCACACCTGGGCCTCAGAGAAGGGTGTTGGCATGTTCTCCAGAAGGCTGGCCAGATCTTGCTCACAATAACCCATCACCAGAAAGATGCTGGAAGGAAAAGGGGAAGACACAGGGCACCTCCCACATCCTCCCAGGTAGGCCAAAGGATCCTCCTGGAATTGCAGGAGGGATGAACTCGATTTGGGGGGAGCACAGGGAGGGGGATAGGAAAGGCAGGCTCAGCAGGGCCCAGTGCAGAGGACCAGCAGACTGCATACCTCTCCAGGTGGTTCCCCACAACGACTTCCTTCAGCTCCACGATATTCGGATGGCGAAGGCGAAGGAGCAGTGTGATCTCTCGAAGGCTGCTGATGGGGACCCCTGCAGCCAGACAGCCTCCTCAGTGAGCCCCACCCCTACCCCTGCAGGGCTCTGCCCACAACCTCAGGGAGAATCAAGGCCACCTGAACTTGCACTTTTCTTTTTTAAATTTTATTTATTTATTTGACAGAGAGAGAGAGATCCCAAGTAGGCAGACAGGCAGGCAGAGGGAGATGGAGAAGCAGGTTCTCTGCTGAGCAGGGAGCTCGACGTGGGGCTCGATCCCAGGACCCTGGGATCATGACCTGAGCCGAAGGCAGACGCTTACTGGGACCATGACCTGAGCCGAAGGCAGACGCTTAACCGACTGGGCCACCCAGGCGCCCTGAACATGCACCTTTAACTCTTCCTTCATTCAATGATGCAGGGCAGCAACTATCGGTATGCACCACCGTATAGGACAAAGGGTCCACAGTGAGCACAGCAAGGCCCTGCCTGCATAGGTGGCCGGGGAGGGGCTGGGGGGCAGAAATCAGGGGTGTGTGGAGCACAGGGGCTACCAGCCTGGCCTTAGGCAGGGAGGGCTGGGTAGAGGGGTGATGGCTGGGCTGAGACAGAAGATAGGGCAGTACCAGACAGAGGGAGAAGATGAACCGCATGGGGTTCAGGGGAACTAAGGCCTAGAGGAGAGGGGTGAGGGCGAGGGGCTGAGGAAGGACAGGACAGGCAGCCTCCCAGAAACAGGTCCCCTTTAACCCTCATGAAGATGCTCTCAGCACCAGGGGTTCAGGCCAGAGGAAGCCTCAGAAAACTGGCACCTTTCTGCCCCTCCCACTTGAGCTCACCATCCTTCTCCTTGTCCATCCGCACCTTCTTCAGGGCGACAATCTCGTCCGTCTGGGTGTCCCGGGCCCGATCTGGAATGAAAACTCATCCACGATGGAATCTTACTTAATCCTGCATCATACACCCTTGTGCCATACAGGGGCCTCGTTCTGAACGCTGGGGGTCCCTTTCTCTTCTTCTTTGACACTGGGTCCCAACTGTGCAAGCAGCAGCCCCAGCCCCACTAGACACATGCTCTCTGGGGAGTCTTCTCAACTGGGCCAGGTACAGGGTGCTAGTTACACCAAGCTCCCTCGAAGTTTTCCTCCTTAGAGTCAGGATGCAGGTCACCGCTTTGCCTTCTGTTTACTATGTTCTAGCAGCAAATAAGACACTTTATCCAGAAAAAAACCCCCACGTTTTGTGCAAAGGAGGCTCTTCAAGGCACTAGTGTGTGAGGCTTCCAAACCCTTCTCAGTCTGATGCACACCAACGTCACAGCCACCACCCACTGAAGCCCCGGCTGCTTTTGGAAGTTCTAGGTTTGGCTGTAACAGCTCCCTCCGCTTGTAACCACACCGGCAATCTGATGCTTACACCGATGGTAATTACACCACGGATTAGAGTTCACTCGTATAACTTCTGCCCTGGCTATAAAGCCCTGGGTGTTTCCCTCCCTCCAGCCCTGACACAGCTCCTGCTGGGACAGTCCCCTGCGCCCGAGGGCTTCCATCCCCGCCACTCACACACAATGCCGTAGGTGCCTTCCCCGATACGGTTCAGCTTCTCAAACTCCTTCACGCTCCGACACCGTCCCAGCTGAAAGACAGGTGCTGGTAGTGCAGGGCTTGGGCAGCTAACGGAACAACTAAAGATAGATATTTCACGCTTAATTTGTACAAAGGAGCTCACTCATGTGCTCACCAAACAAGGATAACCACACACTCGGGCTTTCAGATGAGAAAAGAGGGATGACGCTACTGGGCCAGCAGACACTTTGAACACAGTATCACAGACAGCCCGTTCCTGTCCAACCCCATGGTCCAGACGTATGCTGTCTACAAACGATAACCACTGGCCACATATGGTTAACATTACAGTAAAATTTCATTTCCTCAGCTGCCATGTGTGTCGTGCTCCATGTGGCTCATGGTAACCATACTGGATGAATCAGAAACCCACATTTTTTTTTTTAAGTAGGCTCCACGCCCAACATAAGACTTGAACTCACAACCCCAAGATCAAGAGTCCATAGGAAGAAACATTTCCACCCTCACAAGAAGACTACCGAGCAGCACCAGTCTAGATTATGCTCTGGAGATGAACAAAGCTTCTACCAAACACAGCGGAAACGCTTCTGTGGCACAGACTGACTCCAACATCCACACAGTATTTCTTCCTTTGAGTAGGAAACACTGCCCAGTGGCACGTGGCTACCCAGCTGGTATTTCCCACTGTTGTATTTTGCAGCTAGGTATGTCTATTTGACTAAATTTTGGCCAATGGGATGTGAGCATAAAGGACAAGGGCTTCAAGGAAGGGACTTCCCCAGGGGCACCTGGGTGACTCAGTCGTTAAGCGTCTGCCTTCGGCTCAGGTCATGGTCCCAGGATCCTGGGATCGAGCCCCGCATCGGGCTTCCTGCTCAGTGGGGAACCTGCTTCTCCCTCTCCCACTCCCCCTGCTTGTGTTCCTTCTCTCGCTGTGTCTCTCTCTGTCAAATAAATAAATAAAATCTTTAAAAAAAAAAAAAAAAGGGAAGGGACTTCCTGATCAAAGGAAGTTGGTTGCCGCCCACTCCTTCTTGCCCCTGAAGCAGGGTGGGATTTGGATGAGGTGCAGGTAGATCTACAAGACAGATAACTTGAGTGCCTGGCCCCACCTTGTGGAAAATAGCTGCCTCTCTCCGAAATGTTAGACGAGAGAAAATTAAGAGAATTTTGAGCCGGCTCCACGCCCAGCACAGAGCCCGACACGGAGCTCCCTCTCACAACACTGAGATCATGACCTGAGCTGAAATCAAGAGTTGGATACTTGGGGCACCTGGGTGGCTCAGTCGGTTAAGCGTCTGCCTTCGACTCAGGTCATGATCTCAGAGTCCTGGGATCGAGCCCCGCATCGTGCTCCCTGCTCAGCGGGGAGCCTGCTTCTCCCTCTCCATCTGTCCCTCCCCCTGTTCATGCTCTCTCTCTAATAAATAAATAAAATCTTAAAAAAAAAAAAAAGCATTGGACGCTTAAGTGACTGAGCCACCCAGGCTCCCCAAAGTTCTGTACTTGAGCCACTGTATTTTGGGGTTCCAGTCGTAGCAGAGAGCCTGTACCCTAACATACCTTCATAATGCAGGACGTTTGTAGATGGACTGAATGAGCATGTCTCCTTGGGTCTAGGAAGCACATGCAGCAAGGTTCAAATTCTAACAGCCTCTGGCCTTGCTGCCTCCCATCTTTTCCTTCATCTGCCTCCATCTCCTTCCTTCCTACCACTTGGGGAACCAAGTCAGCATCGCCTGGGCTGAGCCCTTCCATGGTCTTGCCTCAGCCTCCTCTTTCCCCAGTTCTTCTTCACATTCTCTCTCCAGGGGGAACTCCTGGTGCTGCCTATTCACACGGTTTCTCATCTCTGAGACATTGCTCCTGACATCCTAGGTTGGCACGCCAGGCCTCCTTGTCTCTGCATGTCAAAATCCCAGTCCAGCAGGAATTGCTTTTACAAAATTTCCCCCCCAGCTGAACACAATTCTTCCTCTGAAACCCTGACACTTTCACAGCCTGCAGCAGCGGCTCGTGGGTACTCCGCTGGGTGTCGGAGCTGCCGTGACGTTTCGCGTCGCGCACTGCAGTACTGGGAACGAGGTGAGCACCTGCTGTGTATCTGGGGGGTGGCCAGCGGCCCGTGGACTGCCACCGTGCCTTCAGGATCCTTACCGGCCTCTCAGAGCACCGGTTCCCACACAATCCAGCCACCAGAGTTCAAACAATCACTCCACACCCAAAGCTTCACTCTCCCCATCTCGGGCTACACGACAGTGACACGCAGAGGCCTCGCGCAGAGCAAGACGCAACGCAAGCTGCGGCTGTCGGGTGGGGCGCCGCCTGGCCCATTCAAAGCCCAGTGGGAGAGCACGCCGGCAGTCCTCCCGCGGGGAAATTCCCTAGAGCCCGGGCCCGCTCTTCCAGAGGATGCCGGCTGCTGGACAGCGCCGGGCTCCGCCACCAGCCCCTGCCCTCGCCCCTGCTGTCGGCCCCGAGGGCCGCCGCCGGCTTCCGCGCCGGCCGCCAGGAACTCTGGGACTGTCGTTCCCGCCCACGTCGGAAACCTCAACGCTTTAGCGCGACACTAAGGGGCTCCAGAGCGTTCCAGTCCCGCCCTGCCGCCGGCAAGCTACCCCGAGCGGCCCCCCGTCGCACCCTGTGTTCCGGAGGCACCGTGAAGAAGCCGTCCTTACGGATACACTTCAGACGGATCTGCTCCGACTCTGACTCCGGGTCCCCCATGTCGAGCGGCCCCCCAGTCCCCGTGTGCGCAGGCGCAGACCAGGTTCTTCCGCGCAGGCGCGTAGAGTACTTCCGGGGCATTTCTACCTTAGCGACGGTTACCCGGGAAACCTTGCGACGACGCCGGGAGGACCTCAGTTTCTGCCGTCCGCTCGCACTACCGACGTTCGGGCCTTATTTTAGTTTTAAGCGCGGGCACCCGAGGCGGCTGGGGTGCTGAGGAACGGCCGCTGGAGGAGGAGGAGGCTGAAGTCCGAGGGGCGGGGGGCTCCCTTGGAGCTCGCGAGGGCAGCTCTGGAGCCGGGCAGGGGCGGGGAGCAGAGTGCGCGTCCGAAAGGTGCGGGAAGAGCGGCTGGGAGGCCGCGCTCCGGGCATCTGCGGGTGGAGCGCCCGCCACCTGCGGGGCCCTGTCGGGCTCGGGCCTCGCGGACCTCCCGTCCCCGCTGCAGGCTGGCGGACGAGGTGAGTGAGGTAGACGGCGCGACAGTGATGCTGGAGGCAGGGCGGTGATGCGATGGGGCGGGGGCGCAGCGTTAACGGGGGGCCCGGAAAGGCCTGCTGTGAAGGAGCTAGGCGTAGCACAAGCTAGGCATAGGTGATAACTGAAGTTAATCATAACTTAGTCAAAATCAGTTGTTTTAATGTAAACTAATTGTCATAGTCACTTCATTTCAGTCCTTTTTCCATTCATTCATAAGCTAGGCTTCTAGGTAATAATGAAATTAGTATAGTTTTTACATTATTGTTTGAGATTCTCAGGACAGGGGTAGGAGGAAGGCAATTTCTAGGTCAAATAATAGAAATGTAATGGCTACTAGAAATTTTATGGGAAAGGTAATCGCGCTAACCCAGTGGAGTCAGATCCTCACTTGTATGGGCTTGATCTTTCTGTACGTAAATAAATGTATTGAATAAATACAAGTGATGATGCTGATAATGTGCTACTAAACAATGCCAAAGTGAAGTTCATTATTCTTTTTGGGGTTATACTGAAACTGATTGGAAGTCGGTTGTACTATTTAATACTAGAAGAGTATGACTCTTGGGGCGCCCCGGTGGCTCAGTTGGTTGGGCGACTGCCTTCGGCTCAGGTCATGATCCTGGAGTCCCCGGATCGAGTCCCGCATCGGGCTCCCTGCTCGGCGAGGAGCCTGCTTCTCCCTCTAACCCTCCCTCCTCTCATGTACTCTCTCTCTCTCGCTCTCTCAAGTGAATAAATAAATCTTTAAAAAATATATATGATTCTTCTCAGTAGATAGAGACATAAAGACCAAGTGTAAAGCCTGCTGACCTTTTAGGAAGCAAGGAAACCGACACATACTGTTACCAGACTAAAAGTCTCAGACCAGACAGGGCAGGGCGTTCTCTCCAGCCACTCTGGAGGAGAGTGGAGCCTCACCCATGAGCTGCTGGGGAGGGTGGAACGCCAGCAGGGGTCCCCTGAAAGCCAGGAAGATAGGAAGTTGTCAGCTCAACTCCCCTCCTCCCACAGCAGCTCTGACAAGGCCACTGCCAAAGTTCTCAGTGCCATGTCTGGCCCCTGCCCCAATTCCACATTCTTCTTCTGGATCCTTTAATACCCTGTGTCAAGCTGCAGTCAGGGTAGGAGCCCTTGGGCCCCCCCCCCCAGGGTGACTGGGTACTTTACTGTTCTGGGATTGATGCGTTGAAAGTGAGTCCTCAGAGTCCAGCCTTCTTCCAAGTGTGGGGGACATCTCATTCGCTATAATTGCCGAGTACTTACACCACACTCCTTCAGAAGTGGACAGGAAGGACTTTAACTGCCCACCAAGAAAGAGAGATGCCACCTGCCACTGGTTCATCGCCCTGCATAGCTAGTTACAACAGAGGTATACTAATTCACTTACTACCACGAAGTTCAGTCTCTGAGCCAGAGTCACCGTTGCCCTCTGCCAAGCTGCCAGCAGCTCTGGGGAAGAGAAGACCAAGGTGGTCACTGGGGGAACCTCATTTACTGAAGGGGCAACTGCAGCTTCCCACAGGGCAGGATGGCCCTTCTGCCATCATCGCTGAGACCCAGAGCACAGTGAATAATGCCAGCTACTCGGGGTGCTTGTTTATTCTCGTAAATCATAGGCGTCTACTGTACTGGGGTTTCTGTGTCGGGAGTAGGGGCCCCATTCCACCTGCTCCTTAATGGTTCTCTGCTCTTCGCTTCCGATGGAACTGTAGCTGGCTAGAGTCTCTTTTGAGGCTCTAGTGATGATGATCTGTGGAATAGCAACTTTCTTCTTGCTCGCCTTTACCTTTACATCAGGTTTTTCTAGAAGGAAGAAAACATCCAGGTATTTAACATGTCTGTGGAAAAGCTCTTCTGTAAGGCAGACAATGCATGTGTTAGGGCCAAAGCAAAAGAATTAGATGTGTAGTTCAGGAAAAGAAATGGGCAAGGTTGAAAGCAGTCCAAACAGTAAATGAGTGTTCCGGAGCTTTAACCGATTGACAACTCAGGCATGAGGGTGGTGAATGCTAGGCACCCTCTTTCAGGGAAGAAAGGGGGAGACACACTTCTGCCATCCACTGTGGAGAGACTGAGCTGCCGGCCAGCTTGTATGACAGATGTAGAAGGAAAGGGAATGGAGAGAGAAAAGAAGAGGCAGGGTCTGCCCCAGAGGTGAAGGTTCAGATACACAGTTTTTAAAGGATTCTAAATCTGGTAAACCCCCCCCCCAAAAAAACCCTCTCTGTACAGAACCTTATCAGAATGCGGAAGAATTAACATTTCTTCTTTTTTAAAAAAAGATTATTTATTTTAGAGAGTGAGTGTGAGCAGAGGGAGGGGCAGAGGGGGAGAGAGAGAGAGAGAGACTCCTCAACCAGACTCCTCACTGAGTGTGGAGCCTGACATGGGGCTCAGTCTCACGACCCTGAGATCACGACCTGAGCCGAAACCAAGAGTCAGACGCTCAACTGACTGAGCCACCCAGGCACCTCAAGAATTAACATTTCTAATACGGGCCGCAACATTTTCTTGAGCGTACAAGGATTGCACAGGACTTGTAAAATGCCAAGTTTGCCAAATGTTATGAAATACATAAGCAGAAGTGCCTTCATGCCTCCCCTGCTGCGTCTCCCAGCCTGCGTCCCCCGGGCCTTCAGGTTGGAGGCACTGCCTTTTAGGCCTCTCCTCAAGCACTACAGAGAGGGCTCTTTCTCTCTCTGTGCGCATATGCATGCAAGTAGAGTTAGAATAATCACATTGTCACATAATTGTTACAAAAATGCTATCACGCTGGTCCTACTGCTTTTCAGTGTGCTTTGTGCCCCACTTAAAATACCTCATGAACCCGGCTACCTGGGGGCACAGGGAATGGTTGCTTGTTCTCCGTCAGACATCATTCTGAGCCTAGAATAATGACAGTGAACACCAACCCACAACGCTTCCTGAAGTAGGTCCTCTTATGACCTACGTTTTACAGAGGAAGGTACTGAGGCACAGAGAGGTCATTTGCTCAAGGCGGGTGGTAGAGGGAGATGCCGGGGCTCCATAGCTCTGTCTGTCTTCAGTGCCACATCCACAGCTTTGATTGTTTTAACTACCAATGAATGACCCAGGGCCTGCACTGAGAGTGTCCTTTTTATTTTTATCATAAAGTCAAAAACTGCATTTCATATTTTGCATTTAATTTAAATTGGGGGTTCGTTTTTTACATTAATTTATATATGCTTTTATATATTAAGACTAAAAGGCTATGAATATTTTATTTAAAAAATAATACACAATTAAAAATTGCATATGGGAGGATTCTTTTCCTTCCAGACATTTCATATGTACATGCACAGTGTGATGCATTTAGGATCACATTATGGCTTGGCTGAGCTCCATGTCTGCACATACAGGTTGGTCTCTTCCATGGCAGCCTGGACTTCACTATCTGGGGACCCATCCATTACATTACCAGCTCCCTTGAATGAACATAATTTAGGTTATTTCCAATTTTTATATTTTTCAAGTGATGCTGTAGTTAACATTCTTGCATTTATATATTTACACATTTGTGAGGGTTTATTGGGTAAGTTACTAGAAGGAGGATTTTGGCAAATATTGTCAAACTATTTTTCATAAAGATTTTATCAATATATATTTCCACTAAGATTTTGTAAATAGGACATTTCTCCATACCTTCCCCTAATTTTCAGTTTGCTAAATCTTTTCCCATGTTACATGAAAATGGAAGTATTGACTTCTGCCCCCACTGGTCACCTTCAACTTTCCTGAAGCTTTACCCCAGTATGGGGAGGTTGAACATCTTTTTGCTTGGTCATGGTCCAGTGGTATTTATTTTCCTGTGAATGCATGTCATATTCTTTCCTCATTTTGTACTTTGACCTTTTCGGTGTGTGAGAGCTTTTTGCATGTTGAGGAGATTTCCCCTTCATGATCATATTGTAGATGGTTCCCCTTGTTTTACTTCTTAATGTAGTCAAATCCTTCAATATATCTTTGCAGTGTCTTTGTTTTGAGGCTTAGAAGGATGGTCCCTACTGAGGACTCATATTAAAATGTACATCTGGGGCGCCTGGGTGGCTCAGTCGTTAAGCGTCTGCCTTTGGCTCAGGTCATGATCCCAGGGTCCTGGGATCGAGCCCCGCATCAGGCTCCCTG